GTGGGGAGAAACAAAATCCCATCTTGCTCTTCAGCTGTGCTGCTCAGTATGGTAACCATTAGCCACATGTGGCATTTATTTATTTTTTTATTTTTTTATTTTTTTAAAGATGACCAGTGAGGGGATCTTAACCCTTGACTTGGTGTTGTCAGCACCATGCTCTCCCAAGTGAGCGAACCAGCCATCCCTATAGGGGATCCGAACCCGGGGCCTTGGTGTTCTCAGCCCCGCCCTCTCCCGGGTGAGCCGCGGGCCGGCCCCACATGTGGCATTTATTTATTTTTTTATTTTTTTAAAGATGACCAGTGAGGGGATCTTAACCCTTGACTTGGTGTTGTCAGCACCATGCTCTCCCAAGTGAGCGAACCAGCCATCCCTATATGGGATCCGAACCCGTGGCCTTGGTGTTCTCAGCACCGCACTCTCCCGAGTGAGCCACGGGCCGGCCCCACATGTGGCATTTAAATTTAACTCTAATGAAATAAAATTAAATTTAGTTCTTCAGTCACACTAGCCACATTTTAAATGCTCAATAGTCTCGTATGGCTAGTGGCTTCTGAACTGAGCAGCACAGATATAGAACAGTCCCATCACTGCAGAAAGTTCTATGGGACAACGCTGCTCTAGAGTCTTAGAGGTATTTCACCTCCTTTTCTATCTGAAGGATGTTCGGCTCCCTCTTACAAAAAGTTCACTTTCCAGCCCCCAGACACAGAATCACCCAGGTCCTGGTGGAAAAAGACCACAGTTTGGCTGTAGGGGCAGAGGTTTCTTGATTGTCTGGGATTGAGTTGCTCAATTCTATACTAACCAGATTTACTTCCTTCAACCTCCAATCAAACCAACAGCCTTATCCCTTCTGTTCTGTCTGCTCAGGGGTAAATGTAGTCATGTCAGAGAAGACACCTTTGCTGGCTCTGAAATTTGCAGCCAGGCCTGCTTGCCGCCCTCTGAACATGTGAAGAGCTCCATTAGCCAAACTCCCTGAATCTTCTCTCCCTTCTCTTCATGCTGCTTTTTCCATAAGACCACCTCCCTCTCTCCTCTGCTCAGGACAATCTCTTGCTTCCTAGTGACAAATAAGCAGTTGCCAGAAGCCTTGATACCTAGGGAGGTTTGTTAGACATTCTGGGGCAACATGCCCTAGTTAGTGGGAAGCAGAGGATGACAAAGCTGCAAAGGGCTCTAATCCTCTCCTAAGTCAACTCCCTCATTTGACAGATGGGACAGTAAACAACCCTAAATGGGAGGTAAAAGGAAAAGGCACACACACTATCTCCAAGACACGCAAGTGCAAAGCCAGGGGATTCCGACTGAACTGCATTCCTGGAAATGTTTCTGAACATCTCTGCCTTGGCTGATGCTTTATGCCCTTTCCAAGATAACATTCCTTTTACGGAAAATATGATGACTGGGCCCATAGGTTTCCTTCCACGTGGAGGGAAAAGGCTGGGTATGGTTAGGCAGGGAGACAACTGAACTCTTCTCAGTGAAACCTCCACCTGAGGGAAGCCGCCCCTCAGCCCCCCTTCTGCATTCCCTTCTTTGGCCATTCCTTCTCCTGCCATGGCTCTGGTTTGATCACTTCCTAGTAGGACAGGATAAGTGAGGACAGAGTTCTGGTTTGGGTGCTAAGTATGACATGCTTCAACCTTCACAAAAAGTTGATTAACTCTGCTTGTCGAAATTTCTAAAGGGGAAAAAAAATTCCCCAAGGAGCTGGAGGTAGGGAAAATTCTGGGAAATGTGCAGAGGACCCTGTGGCACAGAGGACCTCTGGCACAAGCATCCCGACCCAGCCTCCCTCTTCTCTGGGAAGGGCTTCCACCTCTGTGCTCAGCAGAAAACCATATCACTGACTTAGAAGACACACCCCCTCCACCCTTCAGACAATCCTGGTGACCCTGGGCACACGGAGGCAGGGGCAGAGGACAGGCAACTAGAGTCTGGGGAGACCTCTACAGACTGTCTCTCCCCCAGCAGACTGCATCTGACTCTGTTAGATAAGCCTGAGAATCAAAGGAAGAAACTCCCAACTCCTTTACTTCATCCAAAGGCCGCTGGGATGAATAGAGTTGTCTGGCAAGATCTGAGCATGGAAGTCACAGGAACGTCTTTCAATTCTTGCCTAGTCTCCTAAATCCCAATCCCACTCCTCCCACCCACCCTTCTGGTTGGTTGCTCAACAGCTCCTTTTCACTACTACTAAGTAACTCAGGAGAAAGGTCTTGTTTAAGCAGCCAGGGGGCCAGCCAACTCAGAAGCAGCAACATGTCCTAAAATGGTCAAAGAAAACTCCACACGTTTGGCTGGAGCTCAGCTCCTAAAGGACGGGTTAGAATCCGGCAGGGAGGATGAGTTTAACTTCCCCATCACCCGACCCAAACCTCAGGCCTACGATTAACTCCCTTTGTGCTGATTACTTACCATTCCACAGGACCTCCAGGGAGCGGGGGGATCGCAGAATAGCCTTGTTCTCTTTTAACACGGGACTGACGTAGGAAGCTAAGTAAGGGACAGATGTCCAGATCTATTAACAGAAAGGTGGGGGGGGGACGGCAAATCAGCCAAAAAGACTGATCACACACATGTTCTTACAAACACGTGTGTGTGCTGACATGGTCTTTAAGGCCAAGCTCTCTTTTTTTTCCTCTCATCGCCTTTTCTCACTCCTGAGGCTTCTGTGGACACTTGGGAATGCTCCTTCTGGCACCAAATCAAGGAACCAGAGGAAAATGGCTGTGTCCAAGGTGCACAATGAGAACCAAGCACCCTCAGAGTCCGGAGCTACACTCAGGTCCCATGTATTCTCTGCTAAGAGTTTGGAAACTTCAATTACAGCATTGAGTCTGCTTTTTCATTTGTAAGATGGACATCAGCTGAGATGAGGGGAAAAGTGGCCACATAAATGAAATGAATGAACACCGGTTAAGCACCTATGATGTGCCAGGCAATGTTTTAGGCATTCGGCCCCCTCCCTCAGTCACCTCACACAGCGCGCTCTGCCCTGCCAAGACCTGTTCACCTTGGCTGCATTAACGAGTCTCCACGCATTGAGCAGGCCGAAACCATGCTGGTGGCTATGGCTGAAGCCTGCCTCGTTGGTGACCCACTCTGCTCGGCGATCCTCATACTGAAAGGACAGAGGTCCTGGTTAGTCTCTCACATGCCGATGTAATCTCAGCAACCTACCTCTGGTTTCCCTGCTTACCCTACTGGTTGAGCCAGTCCAGACTCTCCCACTAAGGCTACTTGGAATGGATTCCCAGAGGAAAGCTGGGACAATAGGTCAAAGCCCCATGATGTCACCACCCAGTGGCTTGCTTCTAGAGAAGGAGCCAGGAGGCACAGTCTTCAGAATAAGAGAGCAAAGCCAGAGCTCTCCTTTGTAGGCAAAATGGCATTAGCAGAATAGGTACAAATGAGTTTAGGTCTGTGGTCTCGATGGGGTCCCCTCACCTGTGCTTTACATAGGCAACTCTGAAGGCGACTTGGCATCTAACACTTGGGACATTTAGAATCTGAAGGCTCTTGATACCCAAACTCTGGGATAGGCTGAGCCAGGCCACTTGTCTACCTACCAGTATCTCACCTGGGTGGCTGTGAAGACAATGATGTGCTGAACGTCACGCCATGTGAGGCAGGGCCGTACCTGCAGCATTAAAGCTATCATGCCAGCTGCCAGAGGTGCTGCAGCTGAGGTCCCTGTGTGGCCCTCAGTGCAGCCGGTGCCCTTCTGAAGGTCCCAGTCAGTGGTCACCTGGGAAGTGGAAAAGGGAGGGGGTGGTTAGAGATGGAGTTCAAAGGTGTAGGAGGAGTACAGGCCTGGTCTTCAGAACGAGCCTCTCTGGTAGGCCCTTCCTTTGCTGAAGCTCAGTCTTTGACCAGAGTGGGGCAGGACAAAGGAGAACCTTAATCCTCCTGGCCTCCTAAGAGAACCTCTGGAGAAGTGAGACAAGGACAAAGTACACTTTACAGAGGTACTTCTGAGGGTACGGTTGTGGGGGAGAGGAGATAAAGACATGTGAGAGGGCTCCAGCGCAAAGTGTTTCCTGATCCTTGCTCCCATTCCCAAATTCTCCACCCTAATCCCCACTCCCAACCCTCCAAGCCCCACAACCAAGCTAGACAGAGGAAGTGGCCAGGGGAACTACTGGGCCCCAGCTGGAGCTGGGACAAGAGTGACGGCACCATTCAAGGAAATCCAGTTTGGCAGTGCAGCCTCAGGGGCTGCAGCGATGTTGGTTCAAACCCAGGGAGCATGTTCCTGGGGAGAGAGAACTGTGGCCTTGCTCATCCCGGCTCGGCATGGGCTCAGCGTCTACACAGCCTGCCAGCCTGAGACAGGACAAGCTACTCACTACTCCGGCTGGTGCTTCAGTTTGGTTCCCATTAGTCCCTGCTCTACTTGTGGCTCTGAGGTGGGGTGCAAGGGTGTGGGCATCTGGCACCGAGTTCTTCCCATGCTGTCGTCATGCTAGAGACTGACAGGTTTAGCTGAGAAGGGCCCTGCCTAAATCTGCTCCAGTCTACAGCACCTGGATCCTAAGCGCATGGTGCCAGGGCTAAGACCAGAGGGCTCCTTTCTTCCAGACTTCTCCCTGGGTCAGACACCAGGGTGTCCTCCTCTACTGCACTCACTGCTCCCTCCCAGCTGTTACAGCAGCTGCCAAGAGATGCAGTTTTCACCCAGACACTGTACACTCCAGAAGAAAAGGGAAAAACACTCTCCAAGTTGTAGTCTCCATGAGAGTGAGAAGCCTGGTCTGTGCCAGGGAAGAGATTGATATTTTTCCTGTTAAGGAAACAGCCTCACAGTGACAGTCTAATGTGCAGCTGGGAAGCCCGTAAACTTGCCTAGGGTGGCAGCAGCCCTGGGCAGCCATAGAAAAGTCCGGGGAAGCTCCCCCAGGCAGCCAGATGGCAGGAAGCATATGGACCCTGCCCTCAGAAAGACAGCTCCACCCAGCTGCCCTGCTCATTGAACAGAAATGGCAGCAGGAGGTTTCCAAGGCAAGGACAGTCCAAAGATGCGAACCTGACTGAGAAAGCTCTCTTTTCAGTTTTGGACAAATTACAAGTCAGATGGAAGTGGAGTTGAGTTAGGAGAAAAGCCAGGCACCGCAGAGCAAGGGTGACAATTATGTTATGGAGCCTTCTTAAGTCCCTGGCTGGGCGGGGGTGAGCAGGGTTCCTGAGATCTGCTGGGAGTGAAGAGTGTAGTATGTCCTGCCCCTCCTGCTAACCCAGCCTCGCCTGTGGTGGGGTGCCCTGTGCACAGACCCCAGCCTGCTGAGCAAAGCCTCTCTTGCCTTTTTACTTTCATCTAGTCTCTTCTCTTCTCCCTGGGGTAGGGGGAGGAGGTAGTAGGGGTCAATTGGCACAGAGCCTTGGAACACTGTGTTGACCACAAGTCATTTATGGGCATAACAAAGTTTCAGTTTTGGAAAATGAATTTGAACCAGCAGGAAGACAAAGCAGCCTAATTCCGGAGGGCCCCAGAGAGACCTCCCAACCCAGCCACTGGAGAAATCTGACACCACCTGGCTCCAGTCCAGCTCTTGCCTAGAGCCTCCTATCCCCATATTACACTGTATGGGCAACAGGGACGGGCTAGGAGTTCTGACTATGGTCTAGAGACGTGGGTTAAACTGGCTGGCATGGAGCTAAGCCCAGCTGGGTATAGGCAAGAGCCCCTGAATTCCTTAAACAGGTTCCATAGGCTAGAGAAGCTCCACTCCCCTCTCCAATCTCATTTGCTATGGCTCTAGTTATAGCTCCCTCCAGGTCTCTCCCTCTCTCTCCCCCTCGATCCCCCCCCCTCTCTCCTCTCTCTCCCCCATCTTTTCCTCTCTCCTCTCTCTACCCCCATCTTTCCCTCTCTCTCCTCTCTCCATTTCTCTCTCTCTCCTCTCCCTGTCTTTCTCTCTCTTTCTCTCTCTCATTGACATGAGATATTCCCCTGTCTCCTTTCCCTGCCTATTCCACGAAGACAACCACTAGGTTTATTCCTGAGGATGAATATGACCAGAACTCACAGTATTTATAGAAGGGCTGAAGAGCAATGGAATGATGACTTTTTTTTAAGCTCACAGAAATTAGTGAAAGCCCAAATTCTACCAAAGGAAGACATTTCAAAGAAGTTATTTAATCAATGTGACAGTTTCTGTAACAATATGTACATCTATTCTAGGATGAAGTTTTTAAGATGACCACCATTTACACAGATTTATCCAGAGTGCTCAGGTCTGTTCTTCCAACAGTGGCATACCTTGAGAGACAAAGGTCTGCTAGGGAAGAGGAGCCTGAGGGATAGGACAGGGAAGCCGGGAACAAAAAGAAACACGTTGTGATGCCTGAGAGAAGAGGTGGGGCGCGGCAGGGCGTGGAGGACCCGGGAGGCACTCACAATGCTTCGGAGCATCTTGTCCCCTCCACTGAAGGTGACTGCCAGCATGGAGGCACACTCCTCTGCATAGAAAGGCATCCGTCCCTCCTCATCCACAGCACCTGTGCACCGAGCAAGGGAAATGGGAACTGAGATGAAGAGCTGGTCCTGCGGCAGGAGCCTGATAGTACCAGAGTTACCTTTGAATTATCATGGGTGGGGAGGGGGGTGAGTGCTGTCCTGAGTTTAAAAAATGACCTGAGTTGCCCAAGTCCCTCAGAGTGCCTACAATCCTCATCTGAACGAGCCGCCTCAAGTGGCAGAGGGTATTCTGTATCCTAAGACCGTTCCTCAATAGGCTCCAGGGTAAAACTGAGGGCCTTCACCTCTGTACCTACTCATTCCTTCACACGTTCATTTTTAAGCATCTACTTTGAGTCACACACTGTGAGGCATCAGGACCATATAGAAAAGGCCACAGTCCTGATATTGAGGAGCCTAGAGTCAGGTAGGAAGCCAGGTAAGTAAATATAGTTGGGGTGGCAAATGCAATGAGTGGGAGCACAGGTAAAGGGCATTTAATTTAGGCTAGTGAGGAGTCAGGGAGCCACAGAAAGAGAGGCCAGAGCAAAGGCCTCATCACTGTGTTGGGGATGAAGACAGTGGTGACTTCTAGAAGATGGGATGGAAGTGCTCTCAGAGTGTGGTGATATCTAAGGAAGTCTCGAGGTCCTCTGAGAGCAGAGCTAGTCCTATATGAGCCCAAAGAGATGATCGTGCTCACATGTTTAGATGGGCACACCAAGATACACAATCCCCTCACCACTGAGTGATACATACACACATAAACACACACACAGAACCATCAAGTCGCTACCTATGGTGACTGTGTAGATGGAGTTGGCATAGCCATCATAGTTGCAGTTGTCGTTGTGCTGGCCTCCATTCCCACTGGCTACCACAAAGATGCTTCCAAAGCCCTGGCGACCAGCAATCACCCCATGTTGCAACGCAGCCTGAGGAGCAAAAATGTCAGGGTATCAGTTGAGAAGCTCCTGGAAAGACTTCTACCTACCATACCAGTCACCCTTTCCTCGCCTTCTAGAAAGAAAAGAAAGAAGTACAAAGGGCACTGGGCATGGGGGAAAGAGATTTAAAGATGGACACAGGATGGGGAGGGAGCTGGTAGTTGAACAACATTTGATGGATGTACTCTGCTCATCACATGACAGGGTGGGGCCAGGAATGGGAGCTGAGAACAAGATCAAAGGGAAACAATCTCAAAGCATTGTTCCATTTCTCTCTCTAAGAATTAGTGTCCCCCATACTCCCGGCTCCAGATTAGGTGTACTCTTCCTGAAAGGAGGCAGCAGGGCTAGATGGCATAGGTCTGGTACTGCAAATGGGGGTGGGGTGAGAAGTGGGATCGACTTGTAGTAGTTCTCCTAGGACAGTGAAGACTGTATCCTGGGTCTCCTAGAGTCTTTGTGCTATTCACAGTTACCTTTCCAAGCTGATGGGGGCCATCCACTGTCTTCCCATCATCATCTGGTCCCCAGCTGTTGAGAAATACCCAGAAGGAAGGCCAGAGCCAGGCTGTGGCTACCCACCTAGTGCCTCCCAGTCTCAGCTGGCCACTCTTCTGCCTGCAGCTCTTACTCTCCTCCCAAGGGTTCCAGTTCAGGACTCCCATGATTAAAAGACATAAGGTTCAAAGGTCCATGCCTTCTCCAAAGTGGAAAACAGAAGTCTGTGCCAAGATTCTTCTTTTCTCTGGAAATATATTTCCTGCTCCTAAAAGTCCTTTCTCAGAAGGTAGTACATAGCGGAAGAGAGGGACGGGATCATTCCACTCCTCATCTAGGGATCTACTAGTAGCGTTGATGGCAGAGCACCCCTGAAGGGATATTTAATCTGTATAACTTCCTGGTTCTTAGGCTGAGGGGTTCTCTACTCTTTCTCTAAGAGGAAATGTATCTTGTGATGATGTCATAAATTTAAGGGAGGTACTGGTTAGGGGGAGGAACAGGTGCGATCAATGCCATGGGGGCTGCCCGACCCCAGCTCCTCCTTCTCCAGCCCACCACAACCACAACCTGAACCTGCAGGTGCATTTATGTAGGGCGGCAGGGATTGGTGCTGGGCACTCAGCTTATCTACACTTGGACAGGAAAGCCCACTTTCTCTCAGAGGTCTTTTGAGTTTAGAAAACAAATGAAATGGGGCAGGCTGGGGCATCTAATTAGGTGGCAATCTAATTACTGGGGTGTCAGGGGGTTAAGACTGAGAACCTCGTGGCTGGGGATCTGGAGAAATGAGAGCAATGGACTTATTAGCTGAACCCAATGAGGAGACCCTGCTCAGAACTGCATGAGTCAGCCCACTTTGCTGTTCTGTGTTGGAGGATTTGTACCAGGTGCTCCAGCCTCTCGCCCTCTCACCTGCTCTGTCTCACCTGCAGCTGTAGATGTCATTTATCTGATAGTGCTTGTTGAACGCCACGGCCTCCATGCTGTCTGTGAGGGGTCCATCCAGCACCCGGATACCTAGGCATTGAAGGCCACACCAGCTCCTCAGTAATGCTGATTCCCCAGATGGGGAACTGGGTGGTGGAGAGCTATACGTGGGGGACTGACTTTTCCTGTAAGCTCTCTTTCACTTTTTGAATTTTTATACCATGTATATATATTACCTGTCCAAAAACATTTTTTAACATAATGCTGGGACTTAGACTTTTAGAGATCACAGGGTCTGGTGGGAAGAATCACAGGGTTGCATGTAGGTAACCAAGGTTCCCTTCTTCACCCTTAATCATGTGAAAACACCTAGTGCAGTGCTTGACACAAAGATAAATAACAATAAACGATACTCATTACAATTACTACTCTCATGAATGCTGAATTTCACCCTCTAAAAATTGGGTGGGTCACATCCTGGTGACCATATAGGGAGAGATGGGGCTTTCAGAAAAGATGTGTAGCTCAGTTGGTTAGAGTGAGGTGTTATAATACCAAGGTCAAGGAGTTCGGATCCCAGTACTGGCCAGCCACCAAAAAATATAAACAAACAAAAAGAGAGTATGCAGACCCTGAAAGTTTCTGGCGCCCTCTGTAGTCTCATTCACAGAGGGCTGCTGCCCTCTGCTGGAGGGTTAGAGGAAACCAGCCTACTCTTTCTAGGTTCCCAAGCATATATTAGGAATCATGGCAGGTAGAGGGGGGCTTCGCAGTTCATTCCCTTCACCATCTGCCTTCACGAACAAAGACTGAGAGGCGAAGGGACCACAGAAGCACCCTCAGTGGGAAACAGGGCTTCTCAGTTCTCTTGAAAGGATGGAGAGCAGGCCATGACCATCAGTAGGACTGGGAGCTATAGGGTTGGGACATGCAAGAACAGCATCTATGGTTACATGGCGTCATGGAGGAAGAACCAATGAGAAGACACTTTGTAAACTATGAAAATACAAGTAAATGTAGTCAAGTAAAGGTGTTATTCCAAAGACTTGGGTCACTGATGGGGCATAACCATGATCAGAAAAAGGAAAGAGACAGCAGGACCAGCCCACATCAAGAGCATTTCTACCATATGGTCAAGGGTTTGGCCTTTATATTTTATATAGTGGGGGTTGCTGCTTAAAAATGTTTGAAAAACCACTGCACTGAAAATCAATGAACTAATTTGTCCTACAGACACCCATCATAAGCTTACCCTCTGTTCTACGCTACATGTGTTAAGGGTGGGATAAAGCAGTTTCAGGATGGGGGAGGGGTACAGGGAAATGAAGATGTGGCCACCAAAGCCCCCAAGGCTAGACTGAAGCAGGAGTTACCTGCTATGCGGCTCCCATATGCCACTCCCACTGCACAGAAGCTGTTGTTGGGCACAGCTGCAATCTCTCCTGCACATCTTGTGCCGTGGTGGTTGCCATTCTCCACATCCGGGTGGGGCATGGGGTCAGGGTCATTAGAGTTGAGGTCATAGCTACCCTCAGGGCTCTGAAATATCAGGGGTAATGGGCAACATGTAGTCACACTGGTTAGAAAGGGTGAGGTCCTGGAGCTCAGGGAGAGAGAGGAACTAGGAATTTAGGACTCCAGGCCAAGGTAGCAAGCCCATCTCTCTCTGCAAATGACACAGCTACAAGATATGAGCAAAGGACACTGGGGCAAAACTGAGAAGTACCATAGCTCTCAGCAAACTTCTCTTGCCTGTTATAGGAATGTGGCCACTACTCCATGGCTCAGGAAACCTGGGATAAAAGAGATTTAGGGCAACCTAAAGGCCCACTTCAGAGAGAGGAAGGTACTCAGGACTTCAGTAGAGAGGGAAGTTGCCTCCAGGGGCCACTCCTTACTCTCCATGGAGGGGTAGCAACAGGAAGCAGGAAGTACCCCCAGGATGGTCTCTCTTGGGGACAGAGTCACCTGCTGTGCCTCAACTGTCAGTCTGGAATGCTGGCTGGGAAAGGAGAGAAGGAAAAACATCATCCCCTACCCCAGGCCTTTTTGTTTGGCCCACTGACCTCTAGCAAAGGGGACAAGACTGAGGCAACATCAAGAAGGAGGTCCAAGACCACTCACATAGTTGGGTGCAATGTCCTGGATGGTGTGTTCCACTCCGTCATCCACAACCACCACTGTCACTCCTTGTCCAGTTACATTGCGCTCCCACACACCTGTCACATTGATGTCCCTGCCGGGGCTCCGCTGGTTATTCTGTAGGGGACACAGGGTGGAAATCCAGTGACACAACGGACAGCCCAGAGAGAGATAGAGCTATAGCCAGCAGCTCCTTTTCACCCTTGGAGAGATGGGGCTTTCAGAAAGGATGTGTAGCTCAGTTGGTTAGAGTGAGGTGTTATAATACCAAGGTCAAGGAGTTCGGATCCCAGTACTGGCCAGCCACCAAAAAATATAAACAAACAAAAAGAGAGTATGCAGACCCTGAAAGTTTCTGGCGCCCTCTGTAGTCTCATTCACAGAGGGCTGCTGCCCTCTGCTGGAGGGTTAGAGGAAACCAGCCTACTCTTTCTAGGTTCCCAAGCATATATTAGGAATCATGGCAGGTAGAGGGGGGCTTCGCAGTTCATTCCCTTCACCATCGTGATGAGATCGTATGACCATGCCATAGTGAATCGATTATGGTGGTCAGAGGTGTGGTTCCGAGAGCTTTAAAAGGAAAGCACGTGAGAGTCTCTCTCTCTCTCTGCTCTGCCATTTTCTGCCATGTGAGACCCCTGCATTGCTGTAAAGCCACCACCAAAGAAGACCCTCACCAGATGTGTTCCCTGGACTCTGACTTCCCAGCCTCTGAAACTGTAAGAAATAAATTTCGTTTTCTTGCAAATCACCCAGTTCCAAGTATTTTGTTATAAGCAATAGAAACGGACTAATACACTTGGTCTCTAGGAAAGTCTGGCATCACTTATGGGCAATTATGGTGAAATGATGGCTAGGGTTAAGGGTTAAATAATATCATTATGCCAATAATGTTAGTACCTATCACTTCTGTAATAGTGTTTACCATGTGTCAGGCACTGTTCTAAGTGCTTCACATATATTAATTCACTTACTCTAACCATAACTCTATGAGGTAGGTACTATTACAATCTCCATTTTACAGGTGGGGGAACTGAGGCACAGCAAGGTTAAGCAGCTTGTCCAAAGGCGCATGCTGGAGTGTGAGCATTCATGTCCCAAGCACTGCAGTACCCAGATCTAGAAAGCAGTACAGGGAAGGGAGAGCATGGGGGCAAAATCCACCCCCAAAGCCCAGAGAAATGCTCCCTCAGACAAACAATGGGGCCACCTGAAGAGTGACACAGTCAAAAGCCCGCTAAAGAACTGGACGAAGACCTATCCATCTGACATCAAAAACTGTAGGGCCAGACTCACCAGGTGCCACTGCTGAGGGTACTTGGGATCATTGAAGTGGACGCTGCGCTTGGCCCGCTTTAGCAGCCTCTGCTCTGAGTGCCAGCGCACAGCTTCATGCCTGGCCAACACAGCCTCTGCCTGCTGCCGGATGGCCTCCACTTCCAGGGCCTGCCTGTGCCCAGCTGGCTGAACAAAGAGGTAGTGCCCCTGGAGCTCTCCAATGCGTCCAGCATTCACCAGTCCTGCTGCCTGGGCCAAGACATCTGCCTGTTGCTTTAGAGTCTCTTCCTCCCCATGACCTTCCAGGCTGTCTAGATGCACAGCCCAGCTTAGTCCCCCTGGACCCTGGGCATCAGGCCCACCTGTTCCTGCCAGGCCCATGACCCAGGGAACCAGAAAGAAGAGCCCAGCTAATTCCAGCCAGACGCAGGTGGGCGGGCCCAGGGGGGCATCCAAGTGTGGCAATTTCTGCCTCCCCTTCGGCATCAGAGCAGTAGGCTGCAGACAAAGAGAAAGGACATAGAGTTAAAAGAGCCAATAACTGCAGGTATCTGAGAGAGAGACTGTGAGCCATCAGTGCATTCCCCCTGGAAACTCCAATTCACTCTTCAAAAATTATTCGATCCTCTCTTTTTGTTCACACTTATCCCTTACCAACAGCAATAAGCCCCCAGGAGTAGTGTAGGCCAGTATTAACCCCAGTGGGTGACCTCCCACAGCTTGATGGGCCAATTACCACTAGACCAGATAATGAAGCAGAGTGTCCTGGTGGCTCACAGGCACCATGCTGCTATTCCCACTGTTGCCACTCACAGGGCTCAAAGTACATATCACTCCAACAAACTGCTGGCAGCATTATGACTGTTGTTTAGGAGAGGAGCCCTCTACCCCTTATTTAGTTAGTTAGTTAGTTTTTGGCTGCTGGCCAGAAATCTGACCCTTTGACCTCCCCCACCACTCCGATTTAGAGGAGAGACATCAATCTTTCCCCAGTGGACTTCTCAGTCCAGTTGTTCTCAGGGCTAACCCCCACAATGGGGCCCCATTCCCACCTGGACTCTACATGAGGTTGAGCTCCTGGTCTGGCTAACCACGTCACACTCATTTTGGGCAAATAGAGAAAAGGCTTCACTTTTACTGTGAGTAGTGTTGACTCTGCACACAGACTGCAGACCTGTGGGTCCCAAGAACAGAACAAAAGAAATAGTGTCACACCAAACCCAGTGGAACAAGCAGAAGCAAGACATGAACTCCAGGACCACTGACCAAAGAAACTGGTCAAGATCAAGTATCATTTCCAGGGATCTAAAATAAGTCATAGACTGGAACAGAAGGCCAAAATCAATACAAAGCCCAGAAACCCTACTTCCTGTCCTAACTATCATGCCACGCTCTTTTCATTTTTCCCCCTTGAGGCCTAGCAGAGGAGTTAACTGTTACCAAAACCCCTCCTGAGAAAGTAGGTAATACACTGCCTAGAAGTCCAGGTGGTAGCTAACTTCCTGATCTGTGAATCTCCAAAGGATGCCAGGGGAAGTGAGAGCAGGCAGGAGGCAGGATGAAACCACGGGAAAGCCAGAGTGCAAACTAAACGGAACAGGCTTAAAGGGCAAGTGGGCAACTGGGAGAGAAGATATGATTGGAAAGCAGCTCTAAAGAGCAGCCCTTGCAACTAACTCAGTGGGTTGGCTTGGAAGTGGAGACTCAGGCTCCAATTGCCTGGTTTGATAGAACCAGGGAATTGGTCTTAGGATCCCTCAAAGGAAAATAGGGCCAAATTACATCTGGTGGGCAACCATGACGAATGAATGGGGTGGCAGAACACATGTGTACCTGTGTGTGGCTGGGCTCCTTTAAAAGCCTCTGCTCTCTACTGAGTCCACCCTGAGGCAGGGCTTGGTACTGAGACACACACCCAAATGCATCCAGCTCAAAGCATTCCAGAAAAATGAGTATTTTACTGAAGACTCCCTGGAAAGGGAGAGGAGAACTCCCACCACCTAACATTTCCCTCCAAAAATCCCCATTCCACATCTTTCTTTTCCTCTTAGGTTCTGAGGCATATTCCCTCAAATTCCTGCCTGCCCCCCAGTAGCAACGACTGTCCCAATACATTCAGGTGTCTTCCCTAGTTTGCATACGATACTAAATAAAAACAAAATCTCGTTAGATAGCTAGATAGTGACCTATCTGGGCAGCGTCCCTTAGTCTCAGTAGATCCCACCACAAATTTCCGGAAGAAAGAGAAACCTGAGCTCTTCCTGTCTCCCAGTGGCAGAGCAGCACTTTTACCTCCCATCTAGGAAAGGAACCTAAATACTTTCGGAAAACAGATCTCAACCTTCCCCAATTGCTAGGCCTGTCTTTACAGCTCTTAGTTGCCAAGGAAGAAGATGGACAGCCCGGAGTCCGAGATTCTGCTCCCATGCGACTGTCCTCCTCGCAGCCTCTACACCCTATTTCTAGAAACCAGTTTCATTGATTTCCCCTCTCCGGCCTCGATTGCTCGGTGCAATGTACTCCTCACCTCACCAGCATCGTAGACACTTGTCCTGGAACCCAATACCTAGGGGCCCCGTGCCGCTGGCTTCCTCCACGCCAGGACCGAAGGCGCCCTCCGTGCAGTTCCCTCGTCCTCGGACGCCGGCTCCCCCCAGTTCTGGACCACCCGGACTTCCAATGTCCAGTCCCCACCTAGTTCCCAACTCACCGGCCCGGTCGCAGCTGCCGCCGCCGCCTCCCTGCGGAAACTCGCGGCTTCGCGGGAGCCGGGGGAGCCGGTGACAGCCGCATCACTTCCGCCCGGGCGCCGCAGCCAATCAGCGGCGGGTGCCGCCGGCCCGGCACGAGTAACCCGCGCTCGGGGCCGGCTCCCTCACGGAAGGCGAGTGGCTCCGGGGGGCTTAACTCGCCGGACTCCGCCGCCCCGAGTCCTCGGGGCACGTTCAACAGGGTCCCTCCCGGAGGTTTCCTCTTCATGGCGTCCTCTGAAAAGGGCATCTCGGTTCCGACCTTTAAAAACACCTCCTTGCTCTTCTTCCTCTGACTGCCATGGCCCCAGTTCTCCCTGTAACCTTCCCAGAGGGGCTCCTGCCTCCACTAGGCCGCCTTCCTTCTCGCGGTCGGATCGCCCCTTTTCCCTGCGACCCCCGAGAGTCGACCTGGGGTCTCCGGCAGCACCCCCGTGCCGCGGGCAGCGCCAGCTGTCGCCGCCAGACGGCGCCGTCGGGGGCGGCTCGGCGCCACCGCGGCCTCTCCTCTCCCGGACAGAGCCTCG